AACGTAATCAGGAGTTAGAAGAAATCATTAATTCTTTAGAGGCATCCACAGAAGAAGAGTTACTGAGCAAATTACGTGAAGCTTAATTAGAACTTCTTGGAATTATTGACAAAAAGACACAATTTTTAGCACAAAGACTACAAATAAAAAACTTTGAACATAGCAATAAATCAGGTAAATGCTTAGCTAGCCAAATAAAAATAAATAAAGAGAAAACTACCATATCTGCTGTTAAAGACTCAACCGGGAATAGAGTTTATGACCCTGAAAGAATTAACAACACCTTCAGAAACTTTTACCAAACTTTGTACTCACCACAGATAAACCCATCAGATAACGAGATCAATGAGTTCCTTGACAGGATAACACTTCCTAAATTATCAGACAGCCAAGCTACAGTCCTGGACTCGCCACTAACATCAGCTGAGCTCCAGGAAGCCCTTAAATCCATGACTAATAGGAAAGCTCCCGGTCCAAACGGGTTTCCAGCAGAGTTCTACAAAGAATTCTGGATCAGTCTGGCTCCAACATTCTTCAGAATGGTGAGGGAAACCGAAGAGAGCAGCAGATTACAGCCAAACATGAATTCAGCCAATATAAGTCTCTTGTTAAAACCAGGCAGAGACCCAGCATTTCCAACCAGCTATCACCCAATTTCTCTTATTAATGTTGATCTAAAAATAATTTGTAAAGCCCTGGCAAAAAGATTAGAGAAGGTAACCCCCTTCATAATACACCCTGACCAAACTGGTTTCATTAAGGGTAGACAGTCATCCATAAACTCGCGTAGATTACTTAATTTGATAGATTTCTCTTACAGTAGGCCTTGGGGGTCGGTTCCTGACATGTATGCTGCCGGGAAGAAGGCAGGAACATGCAGCAGTGCCTGGCCCGGGTTCAGGGGCCTCGGGTAGACCTTGGCTCTTCTGCTGTTCCATCACAGGGGAGGGGAAGGTCCAGGAGGGGGAGGACCCAACCTTACCTGGATGTCCTATGTCTTGTATATTCTGGAAGTTGTGCAAATGCAGGGATGGGCATAGATATTCTGCTGGGGTGGGGCTGGGTTGGTGCCGGACTCCGTGAGGCTCTGTAATGCTGCTGCTTTGGGCCCTGGCAGGATGGGCTGGGGTCTCCATGCCCTGGGTGGCAATTTGACAACGGAGGTGCCTATTGGGGTCAGTGGGGGAGCTGGCTCCCTGGAGGGCTAAGCCCAACCAGCCACTCTTCCTCATCCCTGCATATTTCTCTCCTCCTGCTCCCTCACATAATCTCACAAACATGCACATAGGACCTTGGGGGGTGGACAACTCAGGGAGTGCGGGTGGACCCCATTTCCGCATTCCTGTGGCAACCTGCCCCCCCCCCCCCCCCCCCCAATTTTATTTGCACCTTATACACTTCCATTGACGACATTCCATGCAAACACACACTTAGGGCCTTGTGAGTGAGCACATTCAACGGCACTTGGCAGGGGGATTTCTCAGCCTCCTCCCGAGTGCCGGTGCCCACTTCCAATTTTAAACCGCACTTAGACACTGATGGCTGAGGGTGTAAGTGGGGTGGTGCTGTGGCATCCGCTGGCATAGGCCAGACAATGCCCGCACTGCCCGCTCACCACAGCCGTGGAACACACCTCATCAACACACAACACTATAATGGAGCAGGCGGAGGGAGACTAGGGGTCTTAGCACACCTCTGTTGTTGCTTGGCTTCCTGGGGCTGGAGGCTAGGAGGGAGATCTGGCCGTCTGGTTGGGGTCTGGGGTGGTGGGTTGCTGTGCTCAGCGTTGGGTGGGGGAGCCTGCTCATCAGCACCCCAGCAGAAAGGGTCAAACTCTGGTAACCGGTGATGGTTGCACCCAGTGTGTAGCAGTACCGGGACCAAAGTGAATAGGGTGTGTATGGGGAGCATGAGTAGGTGTCCGGCGTGCATTTTTGTAAGTCTTGGGTTGTATGTGCATGTGTGAGCATGAGGGAGGGCGTGTGTGACTGTGTTTGTGTATGACTCTTTATGTCAGGTGGGGCATTTGACTCCTCCCCTCTCCTGGGACTTCTTTTGATGATATAGATCTTCGTCTCCCCTCCCCCTGCCACACCTGGTGTGTGGTGTGGTGCCTTAGTCTGCCTGAGTGTTCGTGGCTCCCGGGTAAGGGGGTTTAAGATTTTTGGTGTCTGCTTGATCAATCCTGGTGGCTGCCTGGTGGGGTCTGGGTCCCTGGGCTCTGCTGGGTCCCCGGCGGGGGTGGTCGCCCCTGGGTCCCGGGTCGCTGGGTCTTGGGCTCGGCCGGCAAGGGGGTGGGAGGCTGCAGGTGGGTCTGTGGGCTTGCCGCTGATATCTCCCGGGACTCTGCCGGCTGCTGGTTGTGGCCCCCCGGGGCGATCCTCTGTGCCTCTCGAGGGGGGCGGGGGCCTTTCTGGTTGCAGTCTCCTTGGGGTTCCTGTGTTCTGGGGCTGCGCCTGGATCTCTGGGACTTGGAGCTCCCCCCATCTCCTACACATCTTTGGAGGGTGGATATGTGGTCCCTCACACTCTCCATTGGGCGCTCCTATAGAGAAATTGTACATAAACAAGCACGTGTACACACACAGGTGCTCACATGGTGCTCTCAAAAGTATGGGCTTGGGCACGTTCAACACTTGTCTTAAGGCTGTCGTTGCCACTAAATGCACTATGATTTATTATCGTGTGATTTATCAGTTAAACAATGTTGATTTTATATTTCATCATCAGGTTGACACAGTGATAGCTTGCTCCTGATGTATTGTTGTTGGTCCCATTTTTCCTGCTCTTCTCTTTCTGCAGGTCTAGAAGCAGACTCTTGTTCATTATTGTTTATTTTTGTGGAAATCCCCCCCCCCCCCCCCCCCCCCGTCTTCCCACCTTTTGTCTTTTCCTTGCTCTCTCACCTCTGACTCCGTGTCTGGTCGGAATTACAAACCATTCCAAAACAATAACAATAAAGTTTTAAGTATCAGGCGTGACATTAAAAGCAGACGCTTTGATGCTCCACCTGAGAGTAAATCTGTAAGGCGTGTTACCAGCATTCAGACATCAATTCTGTTTGCTTCACAGCCAGACAGGACACGGTTATTAAAAATAAATAAATGAATAAATAAATAAATAAATAAATAAATCAGTAAAAGTGATTGTTTTTTCATGTACTGTGATATAATGTAAGCAATACGTCTTTTTTTAAGCACGCCCCCTGCCATGCAATTGGAGACTGAGCGCCGACCAGAACTAATCAACAGAGTTAGACTACCGCTTACATGCTTCAAATTTAGGGAATACCTCGGCTGATGCAGAGTTGATGAACTTTTCACGGACAACTAAGTATCTAAAATATAAATATATGAGAACACAACATGACATGAGAATAATACTTGTAAAACAACGTGTTTTAGCACTGTTTGTCGGCTACAGAAGGACATAAATAAACCAGAAACGTGAAGTTGCCATCTTAAAAAACAGAGGGAGAAATTATTTGTGGACATGCTTGCCAGCCACTAGATGGTGCCATTGAATAAGAGAAATCCTCCCGAAAGAGACTTTAATGCTCAGCAAAACCTAAATTTATTCCATTTTATTGGAATTTATCGCCTGAGTCTTATTCATTCCTTGTTTATCTTATTACCATTTGTACCTTTATACTCATTTTTATAGCTTTTATTCTTTCATTTATTTTAGTGTTTTATTCTAAGTTTGTTTATAAATAGATGATATTTGTGAAGCACTTTGGTCAGCATTGTTTTTTTTTAAATGTGCTATATAAATAAATTCAACCTTGACCACTAGAGGCAGAGTCTCAGTACTTGCACTGACAGAGGAAATAAAAAATGCCAACAATTCAAAAATCTTGCCGCATAAACCGGGCTTAAGAGAAACAATATGGCACCAGCATATTTTGTTTCCTGTATTAATTTAACATATTATGGATCAGTAAATTGTACATCCATTTAGTTCTTGGTTTGTAATTCATAAAGACTACACAAAAGAGAAAACCAGGACAATTCAGATCTAGTGATTCTTTTTAAAAGATTGCTTAAAGGGACTTTACGGAGTTTTGAATTTTTATGCTCGCGATTGCCCCCTCAGGCCAAAAACGTAACGGCAGCTTCAATAGTAGGCTCGTGCACGAGGTGTGCATGCTGTACATGCACACTCCTTAATGAAAATAACAGTTGAGACAGTCCTGTGTGTGTGTGTGTGTGTGTGTGTGTGTGTGTGTGTGTGTGTGTGTGTGTGTGTGTGTGTGTGTGTGTGTGTGTGTGTGGCCCGGAGGACAGAGGACAGGAGAACGTGCAGCTAATTAATTAAATAATTTGGTTCTGTACCTTTCTCTTCAGCACAGCCGACAAAGGTTTGAGATGGGTCAGTCCTCCTGCATGCTCAGATCATTCCCTTCCCTTGCTAGAAAAATTGTTTATCTTTTTTATCTGTGAATTCAATGCTGTTCGGCGAGTCTCAAATAAAAATGTGGGCATCTTACTGTAAAAAAATATACCATTAATGTAAAAAAGAAACTCTAAATAAACTATGTTCACATCCAGAATAAAACTCGGGTCTTCCACACAAGAGTCCAACATCTTACTAGGTGAGCTATAGCACCAGTGATGTCTAATGTATCTGTAATATTTATATCCTTGATGACATCTGAAACAACGTTCAAAGAACTGTTCGGAGTGAAAATGGCTATTTTGTTGCTAATTTGCAGGAAATATCTAGAAGAAAGTTGTAAGTAAAATAGCCAACGGTCCTCAGAAATGTAGCTAGGTTCATCACTAGGCGTTAGGAACAGCGACAAAGTCGCTGAGTTGGCACTACCTCACTCTCTGCTGCTAAAGCTACGGGCTATGCCTGAGCGTGAACACGCATGAAGCAGCCTGCTCGACCCAAGCATCTCTCTTTTTCTGTGATTTTACAGAAAAACAGGCAATCAGTAAAAATGCCAGGGCTCATTCTACAGGACCAGGGCATTGCAGGAGAGTGTATGGAGAAGACATTTATTATTTCTATACATGTTTTGGCTTTCAAACTTCCATAATGCCCCTTTCAAGGGTAGAAAACCTCTGGAAATGTTTTCATAGCATGTCATAATCAAAGGTAACGCAGTGAGGGCTTCACAACCTGACGTATAATAGAGGAGGTGCTTTAACTAATAAAAACCCTGGAACCATCTAATGCAGACAGTTCAAGCATGGCGATTGGGTATCTGTTTACTGGATTAAGATTGGCTGTCTGTTTACTGAAGCTAATGCCAGTGATTGTCTTGTGTGGCATTTCACACAGTCTGATCCAAATGATTAAGCCTTTAGAGACTCAGACTAGTGCTCGCGTCACTACAATGCATTGCACCCTACAGAGTACCCTCCGTGTACCTACATTTTCCATGGATGGAGACTTTATTATTGGAGGTGTTTTCTCCTTACATTACACATTTTACACAGTGATTAATAACTATACCACCAGGCCTGAAGCATCAAGATGTGCAGGGAGGTTAGTAAAAGGAAGAAATTATGGAAACTATGTGATTTGTTACCTTCTTATTGAACTTGTTCAAATTTTTCTTTGAGGTTCTGTTTTCCTGAGTACATCTTGAGTAAATGTTTTCTCTCATTTGCAGCATAATTGCTCGGGAAGTGCGATATTCTCGTGCAATGATCTTTGCTATTGAGGAGATAAACAACAGCACAGAGCTGTTGCCCGGCATCAAGCTTGGTTATGAGATGTATGACTCATGCAACTCAGTGACTTCTGCTGTGCCTGTGGCTTTACAACTATCAAATGGTCAGGACCCGGAGTTTTACAAAGGCAGCAATTGTTCCCTAACTGGTATGGTGGTGGCTGTTGTTGGGGACTCTGGATCCACACCATCCATTAGCATGTCTCGTATCTTTGGGCCCTTCAACATCCCTCTAGTAAGTATTCTGACTTCATTGTCATCTGAAATAATGTGAAATGCTTGTTTATTCCCCAATTCAAAGATGTTATGGGTTTGTGTGTGTGTAGGTCAGCCACTTTGCCACGTGTGCCTGTCTGTCTAACAAGCAAGAGTATCCAACTTTCTTCAGAACAATTCCCAGTGACCAGTTCCAGGCTGATGCACTGGCCAAGCTGGTGAAACACTTTGGCTGGACTTGGATAGGAGCTGTCCGCTCAGACTCAGACTATGGAAATTATGGGATGGCATCATTTCTTGCTGCAGCACAGAGAGAGGGAATTTGTGTGGAGTACTCTGTATCCATCTATCGAACGGACACACGTAGCAAGATCAAGAAAGTAGCTGACACTATCAGCAGGTGTGTGCATTTAGAAAGATTCATTGAAATTTTTTTAAATGTAATTTAAACCCAACGACAAATTCACAACATGCATTAGTGATAGGTATATGTGTTTAATTACTCAAAGTATTAATGTCTCTGCAGGTCAACAGCAGTTGTTGTCATGGCATTTATAGACTCTGCAGATATGAGTGTTTTGTTAGAGGAGCTGGCTCATAACCCTCCACCACCTCGTCAGTGGATAGGAAGTGAGGGCTGGATAACCGACCTGAACCTGATGAGACACAGTTTCTGCGCAGGAGCAATTGGAATTGCCATTCAGAAATCTGTCATCCCTGGTTTTAGGGAGTTCCTACTGAATCTTCCTCCCTCTGAAGTGGCTGCCTCCTCAGTGCTGACTGAGTTCTGGGAGGATGCATTCAGTTGTAGCCTTAAAAGGAGTAAGGGTTTATTGGTTTGCTTCGTTTGTTTTTTATTTTTAATCTCCACAAGTTCATTGGTTGTCTAGAGTGTTTCTTCTATGTAATAAAAAAAAGAGAAAAAAAAGATTTTCCCTGAAGTTTTCATGATTCTTGACTAGAATTACATTTCACAGAATTTGTCAGTACTTTCATTTCTCTTTATTTATTTAGTTATTGTCAATTCGGAAATGTTAACTTTATTGGATTAAACATTCTGCCTCTCTCTTTGTATGTTTAGGTGCTGGCCCACAAAGAAAAATATGTGATGGAACTGAAGACATTAAAAATCTCAAAAACCCGTACACTGATACATCACAGCTTAGAGCCACTAACATGGTGTACAAGGCTGTTTATGCAGTAGCTCATGCTATACACAATGCAGTGTGTCAGGAAACTATTTTTGCCACTAGGTGTGACAAAAACATCAGACTGGAGTCCAAACAGGTTACTTCAAACAAGAACTTCAATTTAAAATAAATAAAAACATTTTTAAACAAACATGTTATTTCATAGACAAATGTCCCCGTTTGTTTTTCATTTAGGTTACATCTGAGCTAAAGCAAGTAACCTTTTCCAGAAATGGTTATCCTGTGTCGTTTGATGCTAACGGGGATCCTGTAGCTTTTTATGAGCTGGTCAACTGGCAGAAGAGTAAGAGTGGAGTTATTGAGCCAGTAACAGTAGGGTACTTCAATGCATCACTGCCAAAAGGCCAGGAGTTTCACATTAACAAAAACATAACCTGGGTGGACAGTGGAACATTAGTAAGGAGTCTATGGCTCATTTGCAAATGTGAGAAACTTTTCCATTACAGCATATGTTTGACTGTGTTTTTCTTTTTTATTTGTATCACTGTAGGTCCCAGTATCAGTGTGCTCTGAGAGTTGTCCTCCAGGAAGTCGTAAAGTCCTGCAGAAAGGGAAACCCATCTGCTGTTATGATTGTATACCATGTCCTGAAGGAGAGATTAGTAACGTCACTGGTAGAATCACACTCTTTCCAACCATTTTTCCACTATTAAATAAGTGACAACAATAGTTTCTGCTTCATTTTGCAGATTCTCCAGACTGTTCCCCGTGTCCCAGAGAATCGTGGCCTAATGCACAAAGAGACGCTTGTTTCCCCAAACCTGTGGAGTTTCTTTCCTATGATGAAGTCCTGGCAATCATCCTGGCTGCATTCTCTGTTAGTGGGGCCTGTCTGGCCATCATAACAGCAGCTATTTTCTTTCATCACAGAACAACTCCAATTGTCAGAGCCAACAACTCTGAGCTGAGCTTCCTGCTGCTCTTCTCTCTGACTCTGTGTTTCTTATGTTCATTAACTTTCATCGGAGCTCCCTCTGATTGGTCCTGCATGCTGCGACACACAGCGTTTGGTATCACCTTTGTTCTCTGTATCTCCTGTGTTCTTGGCAAAACTGTAGTGGTTTTAATGGCCTTTAAAGCTACACTTCCAGGTAGTAATGTCATGAAATGGTTTGGGCCTCCACAGCAAAGAATGACTGTTGTGTTTTTTACTTTAGTTCAAATCATAATCTGTACTGTGTGGCTGTTACTCAGCCCTCCATTCCCGATGAAGAATCTGAGCACATACAAGGAGAAGATCATCCTGGAATGTGCATTAGGTTCTGCTGTTGGGTTCTGGGCTGTGCTCGGGTACATTGGCCTGCTGGCTGTTTTCTGCTTTGTGTTAGCTGTTCTAGCTCGGAAACTACCTGATAATTTTAATGAAGCCAAGCTGATAACCTTCAGCATGCTGATATTCTGTGCAGTGTGGCTCACCTTCATCCCAGCATATGTCAGCTCTCCTGGAAAATTTACTGTAGCTGTGGAGATATTTGCTATTCTGGCCTCCAGTTTTGGACTGATTCTGTGTATATTTGCTCCAAAGTGTTTCATCATCTTATTTCAGCCTGAGAAGAACTCCAAGAAATTTGTAATGAATAAAAAGTAAATGTAACATGTCCAAGATTGTGTCATGTTGTGGGGCAAGAGTCTAACCCAGGACATGCAGAATCAGAGTCATAGTCAGATTGTATAAAAAAAAAATATTTATTGATGAAAAGGTGAACTACGGGCTCACTGGAAAATCCAGCGGGTGCAGAAACGGGAAGCAGCATCTAGAGGAAAAAGTAGCAGAGGTGAGTATGGGAGTTGTAGAATGGCAGGGGAATTGCTGGCTGAGGGATTTACGGCTTAGTTAGATGAGAAGGGTGTGGGAGGGGTGAGCCGGGGTAAGTCCAGGTAATGTTTGTAGAGTGGTAGAGGTGAATGAGGAATGGGATCCGGACCGGTGTGGTTCTGGAGAGGGAGGTGGAGGAGATCGGGGCAGCACTTGGAGGAGGGTGAACCAGGAAACGAACCAGATAAAAATCCAAAACGGCGTTGGGGAAAACTCTGATGATTATCCAGACCTGAGGTGGGGTAAAATCCAAAAATAGATTTAATCCAAGTCACGAGAGAAAAAACACGAGAGAACAAGAGCAGAGATAAGTGAGGGCTAGAGACTACCAGTCAGTAGCTAATCATCCAGCGTCGAGTCTTCTTCTTCTTCTTTTGGTGTTTTATTGGCGGTTGGCAAACAACGAATGGTGCATTACCGCCACCAACTAGTGTGGTCTGGAACAGTGCCGGCGTCGAGTCATGTCCACCCTCCTCCTTATAAACCGGCCTGCTGATCAGCTGATTGGAAACAGCTGTTGCTCCCTCTCCTGAAACCAAAACACGCAGAGATCGTGAGAAGAGTACTCACCCCGGCTCATGACAGATTGGAAAGCAAGACATTATAACTATATTTTTTATATTTGTTGTAGAAAGGTATGTAGTTGATGTTTTTAAACAGAATATAATTTTGTGGTTGCAAACGACTAATGTAGGCTTTTTCTCCTGTGTAATTTACTCTTTAGCAAATCTGAGTCTTATTGTGAAACCATCTATAATATGATAGACAATAAAACCTTCAAAGAAATTTCAATCTCTACTGTGTATAACTACACGTTACAAGATGGTACTTTAAAGTAACGGGTCTTCTTGCTTGATTGCTGTTTTAATTGATTTATTTTCCAACAGTCTAAAAACGTCTTGGTACCTTTCACTCTATTCACTTAACTCATTTTTAAAGGGTCTGGTCTGCTGAGTGAACTACTACTTAGTCCTTTATGAGGTGGGATGGATTATGTCAACAGAGAAGTGCTCCCTTACACTGATTTAGACATCTTAGGTGTGTTCTTGCTGTGCGTTATTTCTAATTCCATGTTGTCGTTCTTTTTTAAAACACAGAAACGGTTTTGTTATCTGTAATTGACGCTACAGTTTCGCCGACAGCTAAAAGAACGACAACATGGAACTGATTTAGACAGATTTGTGAAAAATATTTCAGACTAGTGGGTCTTTTATGTGTTTAAAAATGTTTCAGATCTTTGCGTTCAGCTAATTTACATTAAGAAAACAATCTGCACACTTCAATGTGCATTAAATGAATGATCAAGCTTTCGGTCAGAGACCATCAGGATTCCGCTCATTCATTCAGCTCATCAAAAAATGTGAGCAAAAACCTAAAGCAGTACATTTATATTTTTGTTCAGTGGAAATACATAGAATAGAATTAGGATTCTGCAGGCTCGTCTGCTGAATGTTGTTCCTACCAGCAAGGGAATTACTGAAGAAGCTATATGTGAGTTTGTGCAGGCATGCTTTTGAATGTCGGACCATCAGTACTGTTTCCATTTGAAGTTGTGAAACTTGAATAGACACACACACACATTCACTCTAATGGTGATGAGCTACATTGTAGCCACATCTGCCCTGAGGCTTACTGACGGAGGCGAATTATCTTTTGAACACAATTTGTAAATTATATGTTTTTGATGCTCAAAGTTCATTTCTAAAGAAGAAAGAAAAGGGAGAAATGGGAAGAAATTAAATGAAATAATCACAAATGACTGAGTGAGGGCATTTTATTTGTGATGAAAGATCACCTGATGTATAACAGAGGAGGTACATAAACCAGTAGAAACTAGCTTAAAGCAAAATCCAGGAAACGGAAGAATGGAAGACAGATCTTTTTTTAGTCATCTGACCTTAGCAGTAAGTTTGATGCAGCTGACATCAGTTAATGCTGTGGGTATCACTTTGGACGGTCTGAAACAAAGAGTTGAGCTAATAGAGGATGTGATTGGTGCTGGTGGTGGTACTAACGCTTCATTGGTGAAATGCAGCCGACAGAGTTCCCCTCGTTTACCTGTTTTCTCCATGGATGGGGACATTGCTATTGGAGGAGTTTTTTCTTTACACTACAAATTGCACGGGGTGATTCATAACTACGTCACCAAACCGGAGCCATCTAGATATACAGGGGTTAGTAAAAGGGAGAAATGATTGGTATGAATGTTAAAATCACAAAGCTTACATGAAAAGGCTAATCTTGTCTACTTAGTTAGGATAATTGCTGCCTTTGTGTTTATTCTTGATTGACTCAGCTTGGACTTTTTGACAATTATAGATTATTTTTAGAGGTTTTTATTTCATTTCTATAGAACATACTTGAATTTTCTGTTTGTAACCTTTTTAAGTGTTTTACAATTTTTATATTCTAAGCAAACACTAACACTTACCTGATTTATTTTATGCGGCCTTAGTGCCCGGGAACTGCGTTTTTCTCGCACGATGATCTTTGCTATTGAGGAGATAAACAACAGCACAGAGATGCTGCCGGGCATCAAGCTTGGATATCAGATATATGACTCATGCAACTCGGTACCAGTGCCTGTAGAGGTGGCGTTTCAGCTTTCAAATGGTCAGGACCCTGTGTTTTACAAAGGCAGCAGTTGTTCCCAGTCTGCTGTTGTCATGGCTGTTGTTGGAGATTCTGCATCCACACCGTCAATTAGCATGTCACGTATTTTCGAATCATTCAGCATCCCTCTTAGCCTAGTGAACTAGACCAAATTCTTGCTTTGCAAAGTTTGGTCTAGGCATGCTCCATTGGAACCTCAGCAATCTCCTACCAGGACTCTGGCTAGCCAATCACAGCTCTCTAGAGGGGTTTCAAACACATAAAGAGCTGTGATTGGTCCATAATGGTGGGCCAGTCATAGTGCTCTATCTGCTTAGTGAACAAATCACAGAGCTTTGTCCGCTTTGTGGGCCAATCAGGGCACTCTATATGCCTGGTGGGTGGGATGATGCAACAGAGTGAAACAAGAGGATGTCACATTCATTGTCCAGTAGCATGCAGAGATCATTTGAAAGACAACTGTAGAACCCGCCCCACAATCAAGAGCTGTCAATGGAGCGTTGCCAGACTAAATAATACATTTATTTAGTCTGGCTTGCCAGGCTACATCCCTCTGGTAAGTAGTCAGATTTTACTGTAAAGTGAAAATGTGAAATATGCTTGTTGATTTCACAGTTTGGGAATGTAATCCTTTTATTTTTTATTCATTTGTGATTGCAGGTGAGTCATTTTGACACTTGTGCCTGTGTTACGGATCCTGGGCTCCCGCATCTTGAATGGCCCTGTTCTGCTCCCTCCATGCTGTTCAGGACCTTGGACAGGTCCTCCGTCAGGCTGGCCTCCGCCTCGGCCCACCCACTCTGCACCAGCTGTGGACAATCTCCTAATGTGGAAGCGCTCGTGAAAAGACCCCGGTTTCAGTTTCTCGGCGAGAGACTCACAGACCCGACCTCTGTCTTTCTCTCCTCGATTAGATTTGCGTGGTATTCCAGTAGCTTTGATTGTAGTGTGTATAATAGTAGTTAGTAGTCGTTTATCTGTTTGAAGATCTGTTTGATTCTTCCCCAGTGAGGCCTTTTCGTTTCTGTTTTTGGCTTTGGCTCGCTTTTCGTTAAACCCCTTTTGAATATTGATAGCCGTCGAGTTTGGGTTTTTTGTTAGTTCCGGCTCTTTGTTTATTGTTTTGTATTAATAGTTATTCCCGTGTCTTCTTCCCTGGGTCGGTTTGTCCCAGGCGTTTTGAGTTATCTCTGTCGTGTGTTTTGTTTAGCTTGAATTTGAACTTTTCCAGTCTAGGACTGTGTATTTTGGTTGAATTCTGTAAAATAAAACCCTTTTATTTACTCTCACCCCTCCTTTCTCTGCATCAGTTTTTATGTTTATGTTTTATGTTTCGGATCATTCCGCATCCCTCTGGTAAGTAGTCAGATTTTACTGTAAAGTAAAAATGTGAAATATACTTGTTGATTTCACAGTTTGGAAATGTAATCCTTTCTTTTTTATTCGTTTGTGATTGCAGGTGAGTCATTTTGACACTTGTGCCTGTCTGTCAGATAAGCGGCAGTATCCTACTTTCTTCAGAACCATTCCCAGTGACCAGTTCCAGGCTGATGCACTGGCCAAGCTGGGGAAACACTTTGGCTGGACTTGGATAGGTGCTGTCCGCTCAGACACTGATTATGGAAATTATGGGATGGCCTCTTTTCTTGCTGCAGCACAGAGAGCAAGAATCTGTGTGGAGCATTCTGAATCCTTCTATCGAACTGACCCAATTAGCAAGATCAAGCGAGTGGCTGATGTTATTCGCAGGTTTCTAAAATATTTTATTTTGCTTTACTGTTTGTTAAAATATAAAGTTTACTTCAGCTTTAAAATCTGGTTCTTCCGGCTCTTGGAGGGTGCAGATGCTTTTTTTCCTCCTCTCCTTCACATCTTATCCTCAAGGCCTTTGTCTGTCTTTGTGTGCTGGGTTCACGGCTGCTTCTGCATTTTTTCTGGAAACTGAAATTCACTAAAATGGATCTCGTCAGTTGGTCTCTCAACGCGGTTAATAACATTTTTTCAACTATGAGAACGGGATAAGGGGCTCCTGGATGCCCCTCTGGGACAGACCAGCTGTCTGTGGAGGACTCTGAAGATTTGTGGATATTCGTGGTGTTGGTGTCAGTTTTCATGCTGATCGGCATTGGAGACTACCTGGCTTACCGGAAACTTAACGA